TTTTTTTAAACTGTCTAAAGCGCAACTGCACTTACTTTGTTTCTCCCGGTGAGCCCCTCTGATATTTTTCTGAGCTGAAGTGTCCTATCAGCGTAAATCTATCTGCAGTGGTGGCTCATTAATAACAGCATAAGTGTAGCATGACCTTCGATTGTCATCGTAGTTTCCGTTTTGCTCCTGCTATAGCTCCAAGTCTTGCATAGGAGCATGCTGTTTTTACACGGTCCTTTGTATGCTTAACTCATGTTTCTTTTCAGGAGATGGAGCGCTTTCCGTATTTTGCTGCTGTATCCATTATTATAACTTCTCGCAATAGGAGCGAAGAGTTAATCCCTCTGTCTTCTCTTCAGGAGCTGAACGGCGGCCACGGACATCTCAATCTCCGCATACAAGTATGTCCTCTCGTAAAGTTCGAATAAGCGAATTTTGGTAATTAGATGTCTCACATACTGTAACTTTGTAAGCTCTAATATCTACGTACTTCGGCGCTAATCAGAGTCTCTCTGTTCAGATGGCGGACCTCCTCCTTTCACATCTCTCCTCTTTCCATACCCGTTGTTCAGTGGAGCAGATGCGGATTTTTGTGGAGTTCTTGCTGCGACATAGTCTTGAAGAAAACAGTGTCTGTTCACGTTGTTATTTCGACTCCATTTTGAAGATCAGTTCTAGTCCTTATGTAAAAGTTGATTTGCAGCTCGTAACAGTAATGGAAAAGTTGGGACACTCGTTGAAAGCGGTGACAAGTAATGTTATGGATCTTTTGATAGCCGACACTATAGTCCACCTATCTCTTGAGCAGATCTCAGTCATGGTATGTTATTGCACTGTTTTTGCGCAAGCACGTAACAATGATATGCACTTCTTCAGATCAGAGAATTCGATCCAGCTATCTTTTCTTCCCTTGATGCCCACTGCGCTCTAGAGCAGCAGCCGACGAGGTACGTTGTCCGGCCAATCTTGTTATAAATGCAGGATATCTTTTCGCGAAATTTTTTCAGATATTCTGATGAAATATCGAAAGATTTTAACGCGTGCCTTTCCAAAGTTTTGAAAATGAAATGGCCCTCAACAAAAGTAGGTCGGATACTCCCTGTTCTCGCTATAACGTTTTTAGATGTTTAGGAAGTTAGCGGTACCCTGAACTCTTTGGTGTCAGTATATTGCAGTCTTCCGTTGCACCTCGCACCTCCATACTTTATGCATAAGTATCTCGTGAGTTCACATATGGAGAGCTACTTTTGCAGTATTTATCTGCGCACTTGTTTGATTTATATGGTTTAGATTTCCTCCATATTGTTCTCAAATATTTATCAATCTGCTGACAACAAGATATTCGTATCTTGCCTCAAAGTCATCGAAAAACTAACTAGGTAAGATGATTGTGGTAGCTTCGAATTACACGACTATTGTTTATAACTCATTCCGCTTTAGGAGTATCCGAATTCTACCATTGAAGACCACTTTATTACGCAAACTCTGTGACAGCTGGTTAGCTCTCGTTGAGGTAAGCGGCAAGGCAAAGTAGTATTTTTTATTCTTCATTTTATTCAGGAGTCATCTGTTCCTGACTTTTGTAGAGACATTGCAAATGCTCTGAGTGGAATTTTTTCGCTCAGTACATCTGATACAGGTGAAACATATGTTGAGATTAGGTACTGAATTCAAATCACATCCATAATTCAGGGTCACAAATATGCCCAGCACTGGAGGTTTTCGAAGGCACTGGCTACAATACTTGTTCCAGGAAAGCTGTCAGGTACGTTTATTTCATCTTAATGTTGCTGAAGTTTCGTAAGCTTTTTGTTTCGGATAAAATCTCTATAATCGGATAAAATCTAACCACTCATTTTTCAATTCTTTTGAACTAGTGGTGTAATTATTTGGATTGTTTCGCAACCCCTGCATTATCTCTCATCATCGTGCGTCTGTTATAAGTGGGGGATGAAAAAGAGTTTCACTTGTATGGTGATTCAATGCGAACGGTTTTAATCACCACTAGACTTTCCGTCTGTTTCAGTCTATACGTCTTATTCAAGTCCACTAACTGGGACAAATTGACAGAAGATAAAAAGGAAAACAGATTGATACTGGAAAAGGTAATACTACTAAAATGTTTTTTGCTGTTCTCATTCAGCTTTTGAGATTCGTTCGCATTATGCTAGTACACTGTCGAGTGTGAATTGGAAGGACTCTGAGTCAGTGCAACGCTATTCAGAGCAGTGTTCCTTATTAT